CAATCTATTTCATATATATATATATATATATATATATATATATGACAACTACTACGGTAGACGACATCGGACTAGGTGCGTTCTACATAGTCAGGACCCAGATGGTATGGCCTTTAGTATAGTCGCGGTCTCCATTCGCTGTATGGAAGAGGTTTCGACTTCGGTTAAGTCAATTTTCAAATTGTCATGGAGACTGAATATTGTGGCATGAATCTCCATTTCGAAGGGAAATTTGCTCGGAAGGAATTCGTGATGTGGTCCCACCGTAAACCGAAGGAGGATTGAATATATGAAGAACAAGATGTTGTGGCCTTTGTTATGGTCGCAGTCTCCTTTCGATTTATAGAATTCCATTGTCAGATGCTGGGAATGATGGCAACTACTCTGGCAGACGACTTCGGACTAGGTGCCTTCTACATAGTCGCCCTGACAACAATACCAAGTTGAGACAACGAGGTCGACCCACTTCTATAAATCGAAGGATGATCGTCGCGTAAAGAAGATATTTGAATTGTACGAAAAAGTCATCGGCTCACTGTCTTGGGTCCCTGATGAAACTGTGCTAAGCCTTCGTTTGTACCACTCTGACAGTCACCATCAGAGCGATATTACAAACTTAACGAAATAGAGCAAAAATATACTAAACCAAGAGAATAGGTGGCTGGCTGGAACCCTTGTCGTTTCTTTCTACCCATAACGTCCCCTGATTTGGTTGACTACTTCAACCTTACTTTGCATTCTCTCAAATGAGTGAAGTTAACTTTCCAAACTTGAATTGCCCTCATTGGCAAATACTTCATCTCACAAAAACTAGCTTACGATCACTTAATTCCGAATCATGTTTGGTCTATTGTGTGTATTTAATGGGTATGTGTGTAGTGCATTATGCGATTGTATGCTAGTTTTTGTGTGATGAAGTATTTGCCACCGAGTGCAGATGCTACCGAACTCATTTCTGGTTCGGAAAGTTAACTTCACTCATTTGCAAGCACGCAGAGTAAGGGTAAAGTAGCCGACCGGATCATGTGATGCCTCATTAGGACAGCGAAGTTTGGTATGTAAAACTGCTACTGGGGTTCATCGGGATCGTGAAACAATGAGCCGAGGACAACTTCACACAATAAAGCAGTCTTCACTACGCGGCAACCCTCTTTCGTTTTTACGATGGCATCATTTCATTAATTCCTTCCAGCCAACTTTTTTTCAACATGTAAAGTCATGCCACAAGTATTACCCAAAAATTTTCTAAACCCAGCTTTTCTTCATACATTTTATATCAATCTGATTTGTATTCTATTTAGTTTTACTTCAACAATCTTTATAATCGTAAAAACTAATGATGATTTATGCTGCTCTTGTTGACGCAAGGCCAACAATTTGAGCTTCTTTCGATAAAACGACGAGAGAGCTGCTCGTTTTCTTGTTTCTAAACGAGCGTTTCTTTTTCGCTGTTTTCATTCTAACCCAGTCTTTTAAAGTTAGAAAATATAGTTTATAGGGTCAAGAATGTAAGCCATTTTTAGCACAGCCATCATTCTCATTTTCCTATCTTACCAATAATTGTAGGAAAGCTCAAACATAGATCATAGCTCTGTCTTTTTGCACACATAACCCAACATCCTTCTTGCCTCATTAATGGCATAGCACTATTAATAGAAGACTCTTTAATGGCATAAAGTCCTGTCTTCGACCCAGCCATATTATTCGTACCTGAAACCAACCTTTCTAACATACTCTAAGAGCCTGTATACCCTCCAGACAGACTATCAACTGTGTCCTCTTCTCTCTACCTCCGTCTGATGGGCATATTTCTTTTGATAGCGCCAGTGATAGGCATCGAATTCACATAAAATAAATGATATTCGTCAAGTGTGCCTGAGCAAGGAGGACTAGCTTACTTTACTGCTTAGCCAACACACTGACGGAATAGGCAACTTTTCTCTTCGATCAAGTTTATTCGGGTTTGCATATGCTTTTCCTGGGAAATGTCTTCAGTTTAGGAAGTAAGAGGGAGACTAGGGCAAGAATGGGCGTCCTCAGCCAATCATGGGTTGCGTCTGCTCGGCTTACTATTAGAAGAAAGCAGGAAGGGATAGAAAGATAGGCAGTCTGAGGGTGGAGGCCACGGATATGAAACATGGAAAGATTTCGTGAGGGGGTTGATTGGGTGCGACTATGCTCAACCAACCAACACACATACACACACACAAACACGCGGGTGTATGCGTGCGTTGGGTGGATAAAGAGAAAGAAACATTAAACTGAATATTTGAGCTCAATTCCAGGTGTTTTCGAATCATTTGTCTGCCTCTTTCATACATGCAATCGCTTCACCCCACAGCTGAGAGACTAATAACGAATTGTACACGTATCTCTGGCAGGATCGATTGTTGTTGTCAGGCAGAAGATGCCTGGCATAACGAATGCTAGATAGTTCTCAAACACCCCAGAGCATGGATCTCGACCATGAGATGGGTGAAGGGGGAGCGCATAAACAAACACACAACACACACACACACATGTCTCCATTTGGATGTGTGGCTGGTTTGCAAGTCTGCAAGTTTGTCGGCTAGTCGAGAGAAATAGGTGGAAATCTGAGACAGCATTAAAGTCTTGTTTATTTTGTCAATAGGCCCGGCTGTATGAACGGTTCAGCAGGTCTGTCTGCTCGTCATAGGCCTGCGAAGTCTGCGATTCCGTCGCCAGGATGCCGACCTCCCCAAGCCGGGCAGATAACAACTTGTTCGTGGCGTTCATGTAAATGTGGGGCATTGTTTAGGTGTGTCTAAGATGGCATAAAAGTCTGATTGCACACGAGCACACAGATCTGTTTGTGTGAGTTGGTGTTTGTCAGTTCGTGCCTAGACGTGGTTGCCAGCTCACTTGTGCGTCTCGATCCTTGTCCGAGAGAGAGAGAGAGAGAGAGAGAGAGAGAGAGCTCAGACGCTCTTGAGCAGTGTATGGCCTGGATGAGGAGGCGTGAATGGAACAGGCTGAAAGCACAAGTGGGCTCTGTCGCATGGCCGGTAGGGTTCGAGCCCACCCTCCGGCCGGCTGACGACTGGGACTGGCGTTTGCAACGGCTCCACCAATCAGGACGACCTAAAAGTCGGGCAACATGAACGGCACGCTCAGACACGTGCCTCAGCTGGACTCCCATCCTGTCGCCTCTGGCAAGAAACTTTTTTTCCTCCTCATCCTCATCTCCAACCCCCTCAAGCCAACCATTGGACGGCCGGTCAGGCCGACCGTTGAGCCCACCAACAATTGATTGGGCAGATGAAGAAGAAGAAGAACAAGAATATGCACGAGGCAGTGGGGCAGATTGAGAAGAGAAAATGTACGAAAATGAACGGCCGGCCGGGGGTCGGGTTGGTACATAAGCATGTGGCATCATTCGTTGGTATGTGTACGCTTGTCTCTGCATGTCTGCCCAGTCTGAGGCAGATCCGTCTGAGAGACTTTGTCCTCCTTCAGCATGGGCAGAAAGAATAATGGCCTGCTGCCCTGCAACGTGTACAAGGGCGTCCTACATGTTTGGGCTGTGTCAAAGTGGAGAGCTCAAACAGGCCATGCAGACCGGACGACATGATGAGGTTCAACCGGCAGTCTGAGTAGGCATAATAGGCCTTGGGACTCAGAAGCAGACGTTACGGCCAGCTAAGACACACACACACACACATGAGGGCTGCGTTCTCATTCATCACGATGCTTTGTTTAGTTCAGTTGCTATAACGACATGTTCTCAGAACTGGTTGTGCCAGCTGGGATGAGGGGGGTGAGAGAAAAGTGAGGATACTGAGCAGGCACAAAGGCACTGGCAGCGAATGTGAAACCGCAAGTTGGGCAGATTGTACAGTTTTGTAGAATCGCCAACTTTAGGCGAGCATCCAGCATCACCGTCTGGAGCAAGACATCTTCTGGTCGAGAGGATAGATAGGCATCATTGAGAAACATGCTGCATGGCAGACAATTGAAGATGGCGCTTCGGTTAGGTTGATCCGGTCTACAGTTTGGCTTGTGCTTAAAACCTCTCACGGACACAAGGTCGGGCAAAATTTAGAGCATGGTACAGTTGAGGCAATACTTTTGTTCTGGTCCACCGAACCCTTACCAAATCCAGCTTAGATACGTACGGGTTTTATAGACAGGGAAGATATTGGATAGGGCCCAGTTGAGTTGGGTTGGTTTGGGTGTGTAGACCAGAATGATGCTTTGTCTGAAGCCGCATGCGCCCCTCTCCTGCTCACCGCCAAGTGGGCAAAATGAGATCGCGAACAGAGCCGCCCATTGGCCTCTGGACGGTCAGGAAAAGCTATTCTCTCCAAGCTAGACTGTGCATTGGCCTTAATGCATGATTGCCTTGTAGC